TTGTGGTAAATTTATAGAACAGATTGTCCCTCCTTGTGCTTGATTCAGGAGTCTGCACCCTTTGTATCTTTTTAGAAATATCAATTTTGCTGGAAATTGACTCTTCTATATAACCTTCTGCCAAGGTGGATGACTTCCATCCATCCTTGAGTGTTGTAATATCCCCTCCAGCATTGGCCAAGTAAGTTGAAAATTGCAAAAGAAGCTTTTTTGCTGCACACTTTGAGGCCGTAGCTTAGAATATTTTCTAATTAATTCAATTGGATTAACACAAAATCCTTCATTTAACACAGCGAAGCTTCTTGGTTTGTTCGTTTTAGTATTTGAAATCATGATGTGGATATACTGCCCTTTGTCTTTTATATTGTCTATGCCTAGATGGGTCAATTTCTCGCAACGGCAAGCGCCAAAAACTCCTAATATCAACGCTACCTAAAAACAACAAATTTAATAAATATAACTCAGTTAAACTATTCAATAGAACCTACCTTATTCATAAGATGATCTTCGTCTAGAGCTTCACGCAAAAATGGATGGATTTTTTTGGTTGAAAATGTTTGTGCCTAGACTTTAGAGATGCCACTAGTCTTCCGAATTTAGAAATTTCAATGTTCTTGTAAACTCTCAAAGTTGACTTCAACATGGAATATTTAGTCCACAATATGGATGGAGCTAATTTCTCACTTACATTGAAAAAATAAGCCAGCCATTTTCCAATCTTGAAATTCCTTCAGTTCTTTGTTGTATAGTATATAGATTTTGATTTCTCCAGAATGATGCCTACAGTAGCCGCATTAGCTTTTTCTAAAATTTCAGATGGAATTTCCACATTTTCCATTTTTTCAGTCTTGGTTTTAGGATTTCAACTAAAAAAATATTGTTTGTTTGCTGACAACCCTTGGTTGAAATTTTAAGTAACATTTATTTATTATTAAAACGAAATTATATGAGTGTTGGATAAAATTTTGTATGGCACTCGTGTGATACGTCATATAACTCACTTGGGAAAATCTTCTTTCTTCTTTGGAATTTATCTTATTCTAAATTCTTTAGTTTTAATTGCTATTTGCATATACTTAAATAGCGTTCCTTGGAATATTTACCATTCTAAAGCTTTTCAATTACCTACTTACATTGAATAATTTTTCAAAACGTGGGAACTTTTGGTCACGTCAGTTAATTCTGGTTTCTTCTTGCGTTTTTGATCACGTTGGGTAGTTCTTGTTTCAGAGAGCTTTGTTCATGTAGAGTAATTCTTCATTTTTCAGTAATTTTCCATCTTGTCAAAGTTACCAATCTGTAAAAGTTGCTGTCTATTTTAATTTGAAGATTGTATCCATATTTTCTATTATTTTATATTAATAGAAATTTGTATATTTATAAATAAAATATAAATAGAAGATTATATAAATATACAGGGTGTCTGGGTCAGGTTGGGAAATCTGGAGATACTGGTAGCCAAAATAAGTCGATAAAACCAAATATGCCTTATAGCTGTTTTACATTGACAATTTATTCATCAATAAATTGACGAAGTTCTTCTTCAATTAATTCACGAATTTATTGGTAAACAGTGTGGTTTTACACTTCTACAGACTTTGTCAAGTTTTTTGACGTATGAATCAGTTCTACCAATGAATCAAATAAGCAAATAAATTTCAAAAATGTCACCTTTCCACTCATAATTGTAGTGATACAACAGCGGTACCATTCTGACACATATTATATAAATATGTATTAGTTTTTGTAAATAACAAATCAGTAAAAACAATGCAAAACTAGCACGACGCCACACAATTATTTACATATTCCAATAACATAACCTCATTACTGATCTGAGGCTGGAACTGGAAATCTGTTGGGTTGGTACTTCCGAACTTCACGAAGAAATTGACGAAAATTAGAACATGCTCTAATTCGTCAAGAACTTGTTAGTTATTTGACAGCAGATTTGGTGCATTACACTTGTCCAATTTCTTGATGAAGCGACTTCATGAATTAATTGATCAATAAATTGTCAATGTGAAACAACTATCATGCAAATGTTGCTGATTTCGTAAATGTACCAGTACAACTTAAAAAGTAGTACATCTTGAAGTACATATGAAAATAATACTCTCCTCCTCGTAAATCTATATGATATATTATGTTTCTTAAATTTATATACATTTTTTGTACATAAAAAAAAATTAACGTACGTTCTTCCTCTTCCTTGGTACATTTATTTTTTCTCAAAAGCTCTTAGGTGCTTAGCAATTTGTCTCACACTGCCTAGATATTTGTTTGCCGGATATCTGGAGATATTAACTTGTCTATGACGGTGAACGGCAAAGCACAATATCGTCCCCGTTCGACAAATAGCCACCTTAGAGCTTTTGTAGATTTTAGAAGTTACAGGGATAAGCGGGAAGAAAATTTGGTCTTTGCCCCTGCGGTAATAGATTTATAGGGATTTTATTTATTAAGCAATCGATTATCCATAATCCATACGGGTTTGTCGGACAGTTAATTATTGACGTTTGACCTTGTATAAGATTACATTGTAACGTTATATTTTCGGCAAGGTATCAGGTTTATTAAATATCTAATAAAGGATATTTATCAGCGCAAAGATTGTCATCGGATATTGCAAGTGCCACGGTTGAAGCAGATTCCATTAATTTGTTGGTTCTTTCCTTATTAGGTGCGTTTTTTCTTTAAACAGTTACAGTTACAGATTTGATGGGGCTGAATACACATAAATGTTCCGAGTTTTTCGTTTAAGTTTAATATTCACACTTATGCTTTAAATATTTCTTCTGCATATATTGAATCTTTATTTATTAAAAAAAACATTTTCTAATAATTAATAAAACACAAAATTTTTTTAAGCTAGCAATAATTTGTTACAACAATTTCTTCCATGATTCTTTGTCTTTTGTTTTTTTATTCTTCATACATGTTTCATCTGTTATCATTGTTTTTATAGTTTTCTAAGTAATCACTAAACAATTTTTCTCAGTGCCAAAGTCGTACCGGTACGATTAGGAAATTTTCCACGAGTACGACTTAAGGAGCAAGGTCTTCGAAGTTTCAAACCGAAATTAATGACATAACCTAAAACTTTTCTACCGTTTGAGTGTGCCTAAATAATTGCCAGAGTACGATAAAACTAAAAAAATAACTTAAGGATCATATTCCTTCTTTAAAAAGCTTACAAATGAGCCAAAAGTTTTAATAAAAACTATGAAAAAACTTACTTTTCAATTATTTTTGCCTAATAAAGCCGACCAAAAACTCACTTGTTTTCGTTTGAACTAAATAGTTCAGGATAAAATACCAACAATTCAATAAAGATATACAAATAATGAATTTATAATTGTAAGTTGATATTTCAGTTGAATTTATACCTGTATACTACGTTATTTTCAAATATATAATAAAATTTTCAAATATCAAATACATAATCACAGATCAAAGGCTTAGGCAACAAAATGACAAACAAATATGTATATGATAATATTACTTATCTGAACAAAATTTGGGAAAATACCTAGCGTGAATTTTCTGCAATACTGATTTTTGTTATTAGATAGACTATTTTTGGAAATAAGGCAAATGTAATTATTTGCTGTTTGTATATAGCCGATACTGTTTGTTAATTACATTAGATTAAGCCTCCGTAAAAAAGTTAGTAGTAAACGATAGCTACGATGAAATCCGCAAATATTTAGTTAAAGCTTAAAGTTTTATAATTCTTATCTAGATATCAGATATTTGGAAATTATATGTCGCATTCACAAAGTTTTCCTAATACTTATGCAATTGTACATACAGAGTGTTCTATTTAAGATGGTAATACGAATAATACAAAAAAATCCCTACAGTGTTTGCTGTTACTTGATGTTTAAAAAAAAGTTTTGTTTTATACTCAAATATATCAAATGTTTTGTCAAAGTAACATACTTTATTAGAACATTCATTTGAACTTTCTCGTACAAATTTTTCAATAGATTCTTTTGGTTTTGAAAATTCTATTTTTATGCGACATCCATTTTTAAAACGGAAATAACAATAAACATTTGGAAAACTACTAATACTTCGCATACTATAAGAAATAGACTGTAATGTAATCCCTTAATAAAATGGAAAGGAAGTAAAACTTTTTATCTGCATATGCTAAGAATAATCTAACAAAGTTATTGAAAAAATAATAACATCCGTGATTGAAAGCTTTGAAATAGTCCGGTAATGACTATTTTTGGATTTAAAATGTACTTATTATGTAAGCAATGTAAAAAATAGTGCTTGAACGAATGGTGAAAATTTCATTTTGTTATCATATTTAGTTGAAAAAAGTTACACCAAAACGTTAGATAGAAAGTTACACGAAAACGTTAGATATAATATAAATTTCTCTTGTATATAAGTGTGTCCTATTTGAAAAAATTGTATTAGGCAAAACCTAGAAGAAATGGAACATCCTGTATGTTCGAAAATATTTAATGTGTACATACAGTGTGTATCAGCCAAATGGAATAAATTCAATAATAAATGAATGGAGGCGTATTTTAAAAAACGCTCAGACACGTCGATTGGTATTTTTAGTTGCAGTTTTTTTCAACAAAAATTTTTTATAATTTTCTGAAGAATCCAAAAAATTGAGTAATACACAGGGCGTTGCATTTAAAATAAGGAATCAAAATTTTATAATTGTTATATTTTCTTCAAAATTCTTGCCAGGTCGAGGCCCAGTAAATATTAAAATCTTCAGTAAGAAGAAATTTATCTATTATTCTGCAAATAATTACATTTGTGAGAAGCTTGTTTTTATGCACATGTATTATATATATTTATTCTTCCATTTGGTATCTTCCAATTATCAGTAACTCTGTAAACTAATCACATACAGATTAGAAAGGAAAAAGAAAATACCAAATAGAAGAAAAAAATAAAGTAGCTGCAAATTAAATGTTACTGCTTTTTAACAGTGTCATATTTTTGTTTTGCTTTCCATGAAGACATTACGAAGTAAGAAGGTGAGTTACAATGCATATTTTTAATGACAAAAGGTGACAGAGCTGATTTTTATCGTTTGATTTTACTAATAGCCAACAGCTTAACTTGCAATGAGACACAAATTAAGAAATGTATTTATTTTCTAGAACCATTAAATTTGATATATTTTAAATATACCTACTCTCATATTTATTTAATTTTTAAACTGAAGATGTGAAAGCCAGCTCTGTGTACTTGTTTTTTCCTGAAATGTACATACATACCGACATGAAGGTGAGAGTCATTGCTTTTAAAAAATTTGCTTTTAGAGTGAACACATGCAGTCATGCGTATTGTGTAAGGGGTGTGCTGTATTTGATTTAGCATCGTTAAGGATATTATCACAGAAAAATTATACTTACAAATTAACTGTCTCCTATAATATAATTAGTTTCATTAAAGTGCTGTTTAACTTGACTATGTAATATATAAAAAAGGGATACACCTACTTCCTACACATGCTATACCTAATTTAATTAGAAATTCAATAAAAAGCAAATAAATATGGGTGTTATATTGTTTGCAGTTTGCAGCATAATTAATTATGACTTGAGGATATAAAATATTAACAAAGAATGGTGAAAGAGTAATTTTGGTAATGATTAGTTACTATTTCAACGGAAGGACAATATTACATATTGGTGTAAGGTGCAGTTTATATTCTACTCATACCAAAATTGGTTTTTTTATATCCCGATAGCCTTTCGTTGTCCAAGTACGAGATCTGTTCAGAAAATAACCGAACTTTATTTTTTAAACTTTATTATTAATTATATTTATTTATTTATTTATTTATTTATTTATTGATATACTGTCCTACAGGTGTAAAAACCCAACTACAGAACAGGAGAGTAAAGAGAATACAAAATTACAGTAGAATCATTAGAAGAGTAAAAACGACAATGGATAAAAGTACAATAAAACAAAAACATGCTTAAAAGTTATTTTGTAAGCAATATAAAAATAAAACATTATTAATAATTCAAAGCTGCAATTAAAAAAGGATAATATACCCACAAACACGTCAGCTAAAATATAGTGATTTTATTATGGTAGCACTGGAATTAAAAATATCCAACGGATTGCCTAATAAATTACAATAATTACACATTGCGTAAATAGGTGAATATTTAAATAGATTTGTACGTGGTGTTGATAAATAAAAAGTGTTTCCCACTGTTCAATTGACCCTCGGAACGTAAAAATTAAGATGATGCAAAATATCTGGACAGTCAATCTGGTTATTCAAAATTTTAAATAAAAATAGTACACAGTGGCACTGGCGCCTTAAATCACGACTTTTCAACGAATGTCGATCTAATTAGTCGACTTGTGGAAAGCCAATAGGTGGAAAAACACCATCAGCATGGAGAAGGTAATTAATATCTAAGCAATTGGTTATATAATTGATAAAAATGTTGAACAGTAGGGGCCCAAGAACAGATCGTTGCGGGACTCCCGACGTGGCTAAGTAATCTACAGATTTACACTCTTTAAGTAGGACATATTGAGATTTTAATTTTATTTTTTAAGTTGGACATACTGAATTTTAGACTTTATTGGTTCTTGTCATTGTCTCCTTAAAAGTACTCCACTCCCCTATTCTCATACTTTTTCCAGAGGTGTTTCCATTTCGCGAAGCAGTCCTGGATAGATTAATTTGAAATGGCTTTTAAAGTCTGTGACGAATTTGCTTTGATGTCATCAATAGTTCGAAAACGGTTCATCCAAGGTTCAGAAACGGCGCTTCCAGAAAAAAAATGTATGAGTTTTTTTCTCATAGGTTTTTTGGAGCGCTGAATCCGAATCTGAGGTTTGCCACCTCGCCAGGCGTCGGCTTCACAAGGAAAATTGTAAGAAACCTCAAATTTGCGACACTTTTTTCAGTTTTATAACTATAACTCGAAAACTAAACGTTTTTGATTATAACTATGATATACCAAATTAAAGTAGATAAAATTTCCTACAAATACGTATAATAACTCTAAAGTCTGGACAATCCATAACGTCGTTAGATCGTTTTGAAAAAAGGCATTTCTTGACTTTCCGCTAAAAAAGATGAATACGTAATTCTAACTGCGCGCTGGTGTCCTACTATCAACTTCATACACCTCTAAAATCAATTGTTTTATGAGTACCTGGTATGTCCAGGTTACATTTAAGGAATTGTCAAACGTGAGTGAGGTTCATATACATATGTTCAACGGGCCTCCTAGTTCATACGAAATCGTACTATTAATTCAAGAGGAAGATAGAAGGTTTTGATAAAAGGAAACATATTTGGAACAAATTTGTATAGGCAAAAACACCATTATTTTATAATTTTGATACTCATTCGTCGTCCTCTTCTGCAGAATTATCACTGAAACAACGAGAATGGAGACTTTAGATAACTATAATAGAATCCATGTTTTTCATATTCATTATGGACAAAATTTATTATGTCCTTGCACAATAGAGTGTAATATTATTTTAAAAAAAGAGAAAACCGAAAATAAGATGAAAATGAAGACAATACCTGCATAAGGCTCAGGATTGCGTTCGCAGATGTTCCGTTTAGATAGACCAGGCTGTATATCCGGAGTGACGTAATGTTTTCCTTTTAGTCTTGTCCGGGCAGTGGACTGCTCGAACTCTTAAAGGAAGGGCGCTGATTTCTCCACTGACATTTTGATCTGTGAAGGTATAGTTTCTAATTTACGGTGATAAATACTAGATCAGAATATTAATTATTTGTAATAGTAGAAATTACCTTCCATCTTCTCAGGTGAAACGTCTTGATCGTCATCACTGAGCAGTATTTCTACATTGGAGCACCTTCCTTCACAATTCAAACAGAGTCTGAAGCAGTATAACCCAACCCTTCTGCATCCGCAATTACCCTTGCAGCCCTTCTGGCACTTGCAGGCAATGAATATCAGAAGCTTCTCCGAGGCTGCGAACGCAATCCTGAGCCTCATGCAGGTATTGCCTTCTTCTTTATCTTATTTTCGGTTGTCTCTTTTTTAAAAATAATATTAAACTCTATTGTGCAGACATAATAAATTTTGTCCATAATGTACAAAAACGACATGGATTATATTACAGTGATCTCCATTCTCGTTGTTTCAGGTGATAATTCTGCAGATGAGGACCACGAATGAATATGAAAATTATTAAATAATGGTGTTTTTGCTTTTTTCTTTCGTTTAAATACAAATTTGTTCCATTTATCAAAACTTACTTTCTATCTTCCCCTTGAATTAAGAGTAATTAGTACGATTTCGTTTGAATTAGGAGGCTCGTTGATCATATATATGGACCTCACTCACGATTGACAATTCCTTAAATGTAACCTGGACATATCAGGTACTCATAAAATAATTGATTTTAGAGGTGTATGAAGTTGATGTAGGACACCAGCGCGCAGTTAGAATAACGTATTCATCTTTTTTAGCGGAAAGTCAAGAAATGCCTTTTCTCAACACGATCTAACGACGTTATGGATTTTCCAGACTATAGAGTTATTATACGTATTTGTAGGAAATTTTATCTACTTTAATTTGGTATATCATAGTTATAATAAAAAACGTTTAGTTTTCGAGTTATAGTTAAAAAACTGAAAAAAGTACCGAAAATTTTATGTCTTTTGCAGTTTTCCTTGTGAAGCAGACGCCTGGCGAGGTGGCAAACCTCAGATTCGGATTCAGCACCCCGAAAAACATATAGAACCGGTGAGAAAAAAACTTCTACATTTTTTTCCTGGAAAAAACCTCTGCTTAGTGGATTAGTCCTTTTAGCACTGATTTTAATTTTAGATATACATCGATTCTTACTTTTTGAAAATCGATTCATTATTTTAGAAAATATGCAGCTTTGAAAGTACGAACAATATTTTTGACGAGAAATGCGAAAATCGATTTAATTTTACTTCAAAACTTACGGTATTAGTCAAGTAAATGCTGAAAATGTTGTCCGCCAACTTGCATACAATGATACAGGTTGTCTTCAAACCGTTGTCGAACATTCTGGAGCACTTGCGGTGTTACTTCGCGACATACATTAATGATTCGTCCTCGCAGATCTTCCAAGGTATCAGGTGGAGTGCTGTAAACTTTGCTTTTAATGTGCCCCCAGAGAAAGAAATCTAAAGGATTTAAGTCGGGTGACCGAGGGGGCCACTCAATTGCACCTCTTCGTCCTATCCAGCGTCCTGGAAACGTCTCATTTAGGTAATTGCGCACATTGAGCGAGTAATGTGGAGGAGCTCCGTCTTGCTGGAAAATCAGTTCGTGTTCATTGTAAGCAGGGTCGTCCTCTATGATATTTGTTAGAGCTGGGTCGATGACATTTTGTAGTAAATCCAAGTACATATCGCCTGTCAAATTTCCAGGAAGGAAAAAAGGACCTACAATGGAATTTCCAAAAATACCTGCCCATACATTCAACTTCTGGGGGTGTTGGGAGTGTGTCTCATGGAAAATCCTTGGATTGGTATCAGCCCAGTAACGACAATTATGGCGATTCACTAAACCATTCAAGAAGAACGTACACTCGTCCGAAAAACACACATTAAAGAGGAAATTATCGTTTATCGCTCGTTCAGTCATTATTTCGCAAAATTGCAAACGACGATCAAAATCGTCTTCATTTAGCTCTTGCACTAGCCGAATCTTATAAGGATGGAATTTGTATTTTTTTAATATTCGTTGGACACTTGTACGACTCACTCCTGTCGCAGTAGCCAATTGCATTGTACTCAGCGTACTATCCATTGCCACTTGCCCCAATACCGCTATTTCCGTAGGTTCATTTAGTACCGGATTTTCAACCTGCCTCTTTTTGTTATGAACGGAGCCAGTTTCGCGAAATTTGGCCACCAATTCGCGAACAATTTTTCCAGACGCATGTTTCTCAGGATGCCGTTGGTTGAACAGTTCGGCGACCCGATTTCCGCATTCATTGTTTTTGAAAAAAAGCTCAATAATTTCTACTCTTTCTGGAATTGAGTACACCATAATTAATCAATTTAAAAGACTCGGCAGTATTGGTACTCTTCAACTACAAGTCACAAGACAGTTATCTAGCAACTTCTTGTGGCCTATCTAAATACGAAACAAAAAGCGGACAATTTTTTGCTCACCAAAATCAGGCTAAAGAATTCGCAAATCAGAAAAAAAAAAGCGAATTCTTTTGAAGGAATTTACCAAGCTAATACCGTAAGTTTTGAAGTAAAATTAAATCGATTTTCGCATTTCTCGTCAAAAATATTGTTCGTATTTTCAAAGCTGCATATTTTCTAAAATAATGGATCGATTTTCAAAAAGTAAGAATCGATGTATAGAGAATTAAAAGCCCTTTCTAATGACCCCCCACTTGACCCCCATTCCCATTTAAAAAAATTTGGGGGATGGCACCCCCACTTAGGGGGTTGAAGATTTTGCTATGCTTTTTGCGCCAAACGTTGTCCCCCTCAGAAGCAAACTTTACCTGTTTTTGGATTTTGCCGAAAAGTTCATTACTACCCTGTAATGCCTTGCGGAACGTTTTCGATGGGCTACCCTGTATTTATTTGTTTTCCTATATCAGTATCGTAAGCGAAGTTTTTACCAAGATTATAATGGACATATTTGCTACTAATATTATAAACAACTTTGACATATCATATATAAAATAATTTATGGTGACGTAATGTTACTTTGAAATATATATTTGCTCATTCAATTAGCTATTTGAACCCACACCTAAATGCATTACGAGTACTCCGAATCTAGGCTATTTTTAAAAAGTACGAGTGTATACATACTGTTCTCCTCAATTTATACCATCACGTATTCAAGTGGAAGTTAATTTAATCTATAATTACAATTCTGAAATAGTACAGCACTTGGATTTTTTAAAGCAAAATTCTGAGCTTAACATGTTCAAGATTCTCGTCATAGTCTATTCCAGTTATACTCTTTTACTTTCTGTGTCCTTAAAATTAAATCCAATGACCATAAACAAACAAGTCATCCTCCTACTTAATGACTTTTTTTTTTATTTGACTATGAAGAATAAACACGCTCCATACATGTGACCGACACATTTGGTAGCCACACGTTTAATTTAGTCCTACTAATACCGAAAGCTTTTTGTTGTCAATTTTTTTTATCACCACAAAGAGTATAGATATAACGAATCCATTAGTTCTAAGCGTATTAAAAATGGATTGTTGATATCAGTACGACTGAGTCATTTTTCTGTTTAGAAAATAGAAGTTACGAGACCTTCAAACATTCTATAAATCAGTTACAGTTCGAAGGCAGATACTACGTTTAAAGGAAACTGTGAGTTGGGTATAAAAAACTGCACCTTACCTAATTATATTTTCTCAGAAAAACAATGATGTGATTGTTTATGTAATTCGTCAAAAGTGTACTGTTCTGTTTGTATAATAAATGTTAATTTATGGTCAAGGTAGGCTTGTCCAAGGGAATTGAACTGTGAGAGGTGTGAATTTCTCTGAAACATGGATGGAGTAAAAAAAAATATGAATTCATGACCCTCTTCTATGTGTACAGTATACAAACTTTTTGCGCTTTGCTAAATGACAAATTATAAATGGAATATAGAATGTACTACAAATATTGTTAACATCAATGTTAAATTAAATAAAATTCTAAGGACATATACAGGATGTTCCTAAATATTATGTACATAAGGGAAGGGGAATGCTTTGGCTTATTTCATGACTAAAAATTCATATTGCGGATCTATGTTTATATGAATTTTTAGTTATGAAATAAGGCAAAGAATTACCCCTTCCCTTATATACATGATATCTATGAACACCTTGTATATTTTGATAATCTGTGCATGCTTGAAATAATTTTCTTTATACGGAACCGCGTTCTAAGCATTCCTTATATTTAGGTCTACGAAACAATCTGTGGGAGTGTACCAAAGGCGAAAAGATTTAAAGAAGCTACTATACTATCTGATTTATGGTTGGGGCATGCCGACGTTACTAACTTTGATAATATTCTTCTTCAGTGAGAAGAAAATTCTTCCTTACGTCATTCAACCTTTCGTGGGCACCAATATATGCTTCATCGAAAACAGTAAGTTACTAAAGTCCGTTTATTTATGTAAATTTAGTGCATAAATGATTTGCTGTTGTACCTTTTATTAATAACTATGAAAGCTTTTTTCGAGTTATGAGATGCAGTCATCCTTCTTGACCTAAAATCACTTCTTCAAAAAATCCAAAAGGATCACAGATACAATATGTTTAAAGATGTATACCAGTAGTTGCATTTTAAAGAATTAAATGTTAGTCAGCAAGTTTTTAAAAGTATACGATATACCTATTTACCTATTATCCAAAAAAGCAACAAAAACCAAACTATACTTCCTATCTATAACTAAAACTGAGACGTATATTATAATAAAGAAAAAATGTATCAAACGCAGATATTGTAGGTAATTACACCAAACCATAACTATGGAATTAAGAGTACTGACCTTTACTGAGTTATTGTTTAGAAGAATACTTCAGCAGTGATTAATGATTGTATAAGATCGTATGAACTAGACTGTAAACGATGTTTAGTTTTTTACAATTTAATAAATCACTTTTTATAATAAAGTAATTATTTTTAGCATGTGAGTCATTACTAAGCTGCACTGGACTTGTTATACTTTCAAAAATTGTTCGAAATGAAATGTTTGCAGACGTATTAAACAATTTCTTGTCAAATTAATGATTTAATAACAATTATTTAAAACATTTTGATTAATAAAAGAACGATACCCAGTTTATTTATATGAAAACACTATAGAAGCGATAATGTTTTGAGTATTTAAACACGTAAGAATAGCACTAAATCTTTAATATATCAGTGGATTTTAATATAATTGATAATAATCTTTGGAATATACTCAAAAAACTTGAACTTGAATCACTTATTCCTTTATTTCAACAATTAAGTATTGCTTTCTATAAATCATCAGTATATTTTACGTTGTGATCTCATGTCATCTTGAAGTAAATAATGATAATAAGCAGAACGTCGAGATACTTCAAGTTTTTGCTCTACGACTTTAAAAATATACATCTTGTTTATTTGCAATGAATATTTATAACTAAAATTTGTTTTTTCTATACTTAAGACTGGAAACTATGTCACTTTCCTTTTCTCCCCTTCTGGTTTTAGTAATACCAGCTACACGTACAGTGATAATAATTGGTGACACATTAAACTGGGCAGGTTGGACTGATTTATAAATGAAAAATAATAATTTGGTTTTCGTATGTATTTCTCACGTACATATGAACCAAATCGAAACGTTTTAAGCTGCTCAGTTAAGCAGTTACGATTTGTCGCTATGTGTGTAGCTGGCATAACTTTGTAATGTTGAGAAAATAGCTTAATACACTTATTAATTTATTATTTTATTTCAGGACCAAACAACTATGGTGCAATTATCTTCCTACGACTTCCCCATTTTTTGATACAGTTAGTCAACACTGCACTTTTTTTCAAAACAATTTTGTATTGTTTGAGAATAAAAAACGAGATAAACAAAATTAACGACACCACCAAAAGTGAGAAGAAGTCAAGTTTCAACAAAGATAAGGAAAGGTTAGTGGAACTATTTGTTTATAACCATAAAAGATGTTCTTTTCTTTTCAAAGAATATTTCAGGAGTGAACTATTAGATATTTACATAGAATGGGTATTAAAGTTCATTAATAATTCTACTACAGGGTGTTTTTAAAATTATAAAAATCGTAATAGGAAAACACACAAAAAGTAGAAAAAATTACTTAACAAATTTTTGGAAACGTACATTTTCTAGGAAATAGCAAAAAATTAGTTTTCTTATAACAAATATTTTTGACAATACAAAATTTTACTTTTTTATCTTAAGGAAGGCGTTTTTATGCTTAATTTTCAGAGAATTTATGGCAGTCTTTTGACTAGTTAAAGGCAATATCCTTGGCTGTACCAGTTATACAAGTGTTCTTCATTAGTTCAGGTGGTAGAACATTCGAGGCGTTTGTATTTGAAGTCATCTATTTCGTTGTACAGAAAAATCCCAAATATTATGTAGAAAAAGAATCCGAGTTTGCCTGTTCCAAAAAAACCTTTGATAAATCAGGGGAACAACAAACAAACAAAAATAACGAAAAATGACCCTAAATTAAAAAAAGTAATTCTTTATTTTTTGTTTATTTGATGATTTTCTATAATGTTACAACAACTACGAATCAAAAATGTAGAATTTTGCATTAACAATGAGCGAAAAATAGTCGAAAATCATATGTATATTTGGAGCAATTTTTAAGATAAGTAAATATTTATAAATATTGATGAGATTTTGTGAACAAATAGTAAAACATATGTCAATTGTACCCTAAAAATTTTGCAACGATCGATAGCGTGGTTTTCGATTGATAGGATTGTTAATTATGAAAATTTCAAGAAGCTTATCGCGTACAGTGGGTTTAAATTAAGGTTTAGAAAGGGCACACAATTTTTTAGAGATGCTTGTTGTCACAATAAGCAATGATCAATACTAAATATACATATTTTTACACTTTTATAACCATTTAGAATTTTTTTTAATTTTTCAGCATTTTACTCTGTAAATAATTGTAAAATGCTGAAAAATTTAAAAAATTTTAAATGATTATAAAAGTGTATATATTTTTACTATTTAGTATTGATCATTGTTAATTATTATAAGTATCTCTAAAAAATTGTGTGCCCTTTGTAAACCTTAATTTAAATCCACGGTATGGGATAAACTTTTTGAAATATTCCTAATTAACAATCCTGTCAATCGAAAACCACGGCATCGATCGTTGCAAAATTTTTAGGATAGAATTGACATATATTTTACTATTTGTTCACAAAGTTTCATCAATATTTATAAACATTTACTTATTTTAAAAATTGCTCCAAATATACATGTGATTTTCTTCTATTTTTCACCCATTGTTAAAGCAAAATTCAACTTTTTTGATTCGCAGTTGTAACTTTATAGAAAATCGTCAAATAAACAAAAAAAATAAAGAATAACTTTTTTTTATTTAGGGCTTACTTTCAATGTAACGGGGGAAAATATGTAGAAAAACGGGTAATTTTTCGTTCTTTTTGTATGTTTGTTGTTCCCTGAATTTAGCAATGGTTTTTTGGAGTAGGCAAACTCGGATTATTATTCTACATAATATATGGGATTTTTCTGTTCAACAAAATATATGACAAACACAAATGCCAAAGCCTACTTTTACTGCTCTAGAGGCTAGACTACATAGTATAAGACAGTTTACGAGCTGCCATACATTCAAAATTAGGAAAAAAGCATATTTTTACTCATCATTATATTGATTTTTATTGTTTGCGTGTATTATTTTATTGTAAATAAATAAAACCAATGCAGAAATGGCAGACAAGCATTGCATTTATGGACGTGGTAATGGTAATGGTGTTGAAGCTCGTTGTCTATAATCGCAGGCTTATCCCAATCTCCCAGTTCCTTCTGGTTGAACATTCACCAGACTCCATCAGGATCTAGGACACTGTAAAATTTGGGAAAATACCTATCAACTCTGGAAACCTAGATCCGTTTCCACACCCGAGCTAGAGCGGAATTCAAAAACTATTTACTTTAAATGTTTGTATTGGCACTCTGGCAGACATGTTCATAGGACCTGTTGCATCTAATCCTAATCATTTGAACGGTCCTGTATATCTAAATTTTTTAAGAGAGGTGTATATCATTATTTGAACAGAATATAAGGCGTGGCTTGTGGTTTATGCACCTAAATGAAACTTATCAACGAAGATAGATTGGACTTGATGAACCAGTTCAACGGCCATCTAGATCGGGAGGTTATCCTAAAAGTTTGATGTATGCTGAACCAGATGAGAACATGCAAGTTCTACAACAACGAATAAGAGAAGCGAATACAATTAAAGCCCAACCTTGGACATTTGAGAGGACTCGTAATTCATTTTTAACAAGATGTGCGACTACCATTGACATTCAAAGAGGACTGTTTGAGCGTCTTTAATAATGTGTATTTCATGAAATAAAAATGTTAATTCTTTCAATGTTATTTACCATCCAGTTTTTTTCGGTGTTGTAGGAGTACTGATCAAAAAAATTACGATACCCCTGAATCTCCGCCCTTGAATTTCATTTATCGTCGCCATATTCAAATCAACATATTTATTAGGTTATACCCTGCACCAAATTTGAATTGATTTTGTCAACTTGTTTGGAGGATATAAACAAACACAGGTTTTGGAATCGAGACGTTTCTGTAGTCACATTTTATTCTTAATTTTTGGAGTACTGTTTGCTTTTACAGCCTCTTACACTTATTTTAACACCCTGTGTGGGTACTTACCCATTATTCATCCACAAAATTTATTTTTTAGGTTGTCGTTAATTCTGAAACTTGCTATTATTATGGGTGTAACATATATTTTCGATGTGATGTCTTCATTTGTCGAAATGAGTAAAATGGGAATAATTCCTCAGTATATTGAAATTATTTGGGATATAATAAATTGCTTACAAGGTGAGTACCATAAATTTATACCTGACATTTTAAAGGTTACTGAAGTGGATACATAAACCAGGCTTGAATTCATTGTGCAGACCCCCAGGTAACAAATGTGATATCGAGAAAAGCGGTTATTTCAAATAAAAAGACAACTGGAACATATCATATTTTGCATTATTAAATATTACCTAGGAATTTCGAAAAAGTCATGAAAGGTTTCAACAGTTTTCAAAAATCATGTCGAAACATTTCTAATATTTTAAACTTTAATTCAAATTACTTCAAATTAAACAAAATATATTCAGATATGTAGGGTCTTTTACATAACAGTCCACATCCCCCCCTTATTTGTTTACATTTATATTTAAATAAAAATGGTAAAGACCAGTTTCAGTAAATTTTCTCGTTATACAGTGTGTCTCATAATTAGCTGCCAACCCTGAACAGGCCGATTCTATGATCAAAACCAAGTAAAAAAGTTCATATGAACATGGGTCCGGAAATGCTTCCTAAGGGCACAGGGACCCATTGAAGAGGGAGGAATGGAAATCATTTTTTTGCAATATCTCTCAATCGCGTTGTGATAAATGAATGAAATTTGGTATACACAGCTAAATTTTGATGAGCAATTTGATGGACTAATCCATTTATTTCCACAAGGTCCATTGGGGTGGGTACGGGGGGGCCCTTGGTACTTTGCGTGTGTAACTTTTTCATCTTTGACTTTTTAACAAATTGGACAGCAAATTCCGTTTTCCCGAACTGTTTTACGTTAAAAAGGTACTCTTGTTTCAAATCGTTATCTTTAACGGTTTCTGAGAAAATCGCTCTTGAATTAATCCCACTTTGGTCAATTTCATAGTAATTTAAACAAAAAAAATTTTTTTGTTTAAATTTAATCTAATTTTAATAAAAAAATAATAATAAAAAATTAAATTAAATAAAAATTAATCCTTTAAATGGAAAAGAGAGGAAAGGAAAATTATTATTATTATTTTTTGTTTAAATTACTATGAAATTGACCAAAGTGGGATTAATTCAAGAGCGATTTTCTCAGAAACCGTTAAAGATAACGATTTGAAACAAGAGTACCTTTTTAACGTAAAACAGTTCGGGAAAACGGAATTTGCTGTCCAATTTGTTAAAAAGTCAAAGATGAAAAAGTTACACACGCAAAGTACCAAGGGCCCCCCCGTACCCACCCCAATGGACCTTGTGGAAATAAATGGATTAGTCCATCAAATTGCTCATCAAAATTTAGCTGTGTATACCACATTTCATTCATTTATCACAACGCGATTGAGAGATATTACAAAAAAATGATTTCCATTCCTACCTCTTCAATGGGTCCCTGTGCCCTTAGGAAGCATTTCCGAACCCATGTTCATATGAACTTTTTTACTTAGTTTTGATCATAGAATCGGCCTGTGCAGGATTGGCAGCTAATTATGAGACACCCTGTATTAAAGCAGTAGATAAAAAACAAATTATTGTTGCTGAGACGTTCCTGAAATATAAACCAAACTTTTGTTTTTCTTTTAAATAGAAAATCATGTTATACATTTATTGCTTTCTGGATTCCTTTGTTTCTTCTGATTACAAAAATGTATACATATATTTTTGCTTTGACAGTTTGAATATACGAGTATTTTACAATAGTTTGATTTACTTACTGACACTCTACCACAGCCTCCTACAGTAGATATAGGAGGCTATGACTCTATAATATATAAAATCAATATTGCCATAGAACTGGTACTCTTCGCTATTAAATTTATTTATATCTATCCTTTAAATTCTATGAAAAATGTCTAATCAAAACAAAAGACCATATTATTATTTTATCCTCCGCTTTGATTATTTTAACTACGTTTTCTTACTTCTTATATAATGACAAACGGCTTTGACGGCTCAGGAGAGCTGATCTCTCGCCGAAAGGATGCACAATAGGGCCTAAGTGCTGTAGCTCAGTTTATTGAGTTACCCTCCAAACTAATCCAGAATTCAGAATTTCTATACGTACATAGAAAATAAATGGGATTATACAGCAGATTTTGTACAATAAATTTTCTCCAATTTTTTGACTGAATCATTAGATCAGATGACATAAAGAACGTTGAATCAAAATAATTACAGTGTTTCTAGACAGGAAAATAATTTTGTTGTTTCCAGAAAAATGTAATTGACTTTAATCTCCGTTATACACTGTTTTATTATCAAACACATTCTATCAAATTGGTAGAAATAAAACTTACAGCTAAAGCTTATTTATTTTTGTACTTATTGAATGCAAGGACGACTTCTTAAGAAATTCACAGTATACTCGTACTTTATAGGTGGCGCTTTCTTTTTAGTTTGGCACAGTCAGATCCGCTTTTCCCGAAAGTGATATATTTCCTGCAAAATATCCTTTTGTAGGTATAACATTTTTCATTATAATAATCTAATAAAATGCAGACAAAAATAGTATATAAATTGCAAAAAAATTTAATATATTATAGGTGTCGTCTTAAAATGTTATTAAGAAATATCATAGCTAACGACTTCTACAAGATAATTGAAAACTAACAACATTACAAAAGGTATCCAAAAAACATATTTCGTGGCCTGTATTTCAAAGACTAAAGAGAATAGGCCTATGGTCCATAGGAATGCTTATGTTCTATCAGTCCCTTAATCTACGGCACCTTATTTCAAGACACAGTATTTGTTAAAAATTAATCGTATATTAATACTTCTGTTTTAGGTGTATTCATATTTATTATCTTCATTTGCAAAAGGAAGATCTACTACGACTTCCTGCGAAGAATGAAGATAGGAAGAGCAAGAAGCACCTTCAGCAAGCAATCGATCACTTCAACTACACGGATGAGTACAATGAACTCAACTCGAAAATCTACCAGATCCATTATGTAAAACTTACAAGCACAATCAATGTATTTGGAACTGTTCACTTTGATAAATGTATACCTTCTGAAATGAGATTTACGACATGTGATAATTCCCACAGCACATAGTTTCACATATTGGTGGTTATGGTATTGTGATACAAGTAACATATGCTTAGAAATTTATTTATCAACGAAACCTACTATAGCTAAGTTACTTGTATTTACAACAATCTACCTCAGTTTACTAATTTATTTTGCCATAACGTGTAACTTCATGTTAAGTATTATTTAAAATATATCTGTTATAAGAGTACAAATAAATTACTACATTCTTCACGATAAGATGTCTCCATCAGTTCTAGCTTTTTAGAAGAGTGGGGATACTGTATTTATAATATTGCACATTTATATTGCCTTGTATAGATACACGAATAATTAATTTATTTTATATTAAAAATGCTAGCAGACCAATGCCCTGAAAGATGCTTTACAGCAGTGTTATGACGTGAAGGGAGTTAGAAAGAATTAAGTATGAAGTATTTATTTATTTTATGTACTTAGGGTCGGCTTATCAAAAGATTTTTTAATCTGATTTAACCAATTCCCTCAAATGTTTCATACCTTAGCAAAGAAACTTTATTTAGTTAAACTTATTTTGATAAACCGACACTTAGAGAATTGAATTATGCTGTAGCAAAAGTGGTTTTGTTGCAATGATCTGACTGAATAATTGTATATATTATGTTATAGCTTTTGTATTATATTATTCAAATATATGGTGATATATATTGTATATTAAATATGTTTTATAATTTATCTTCCCTCTTTCATATTGCAAATCAATACATTGGTTTATAAGTTTTATGAAGTCATTCTTGAATTAATTAGATCCAAATGCATTAATAAAATATCCAATGTCATGAATACAGGCATTTGATTATACAAATATTAAGTAGTAAATGGTGTAGAAATGTATTTTTTTTTAATTTTAACTGATAATATGCTATTTTACTAAATTCAAAATCGTTTAATAAAGTGGCATTTTACCACATGAAATGTCACTTTACTTTACAGTAATGTCATGTTATTAAAAAACAGTTTGACAGAAAATTATTTATTTACAAGAGGAAATTTATTCAATTCTACTTGTTCTTCCTGAAAACTATTATGATTCTCCATTCTTGTTGATGAAATATATTTTTGAAATTTTCAACTTATTGACGATGCTTTGCTCGATATACCCATCAGTCACACTAGTTGACTGCCATCCTCTATGTCACTTAATGTTTGAATATCAGCTTCACTGTCAGAGAGGAAGGTGGCATATGTCCTCCTCAAACAATGGCCACTGTAACTGGATGCATCTGGGAGTTTTAAATATTCTGCAACGCTGCGGAATTTTTGCAAAACTGTTGATGCCAACTGGTTGAAAAATCTATTGCGTTTTACTTGTACGGTAAATACACGTTTCCTCTTGGTTTTGGTATCATGTAGAGTTGTAATCAAAATTTTCCTCCTGTCTTCTATATCTTCAACAGCTAAACTGCACAATTCTACACGCTGACATGCCCCATTTAAACCAAATGTTAGTACCACTTTCACTAATAAAAATTTATCGTCTGGAGCCTCTTTTAAAAATATATTAACGTTTTCCATAGTCAAAGATTTATTTGCTTCGTATTTGTCATTTTGACGTATTAAAAAGGCAAGTAACTTTTTATATTGTGATATATCTATACTTTTGCTTATTTGTACAGTACTCGTACTTTTAAACATGGAATATGTTCTCGTATTTTTCTTGGATTTTAAAGGAAGTAAGCTCGAAGATGCTTCTCGACCGGCATTTAGAATGTTTTCAGAACAATTTTCTAAATTGTTTTCAGTAGCAAGACTCATTTTTATAATTAATAGGGTAAAGATGCCTATTATGAGACACCTTTTTTAAAAAAAATCATGTTTTTTTCAATTTTAACATTTTTCTTGGAAAATTAACGTTTTTCTGTAGGGAATTTAATCAAGATCCTTCAAAAATACGCGAGAAAGCCTCAAATCTGTATTTTAGTTTTTAAGTTAGATTTTATCAGAAAAGTAATATTTGTGTAATTGAAAAAGGGGTTCCCAATTTGAGACAGTATGGGCTCTCAAATTAGGGAATAAAGCTGAAAATGACCTATTGTTTGATCAAACATATTTTTATTGAATAAACAGAACATAAAACATGTTTAGGTATGGCTTTCTCAAAAACAAAAAACATTTTTTTCTTTAAACAAAGTATCATTTTCTCTTAAAACAAGGAATAGGTAATTCTGTGAACTGTATAAAAAAAAAGTTTAGGTTTTCAACCTTAACAACAAACGGCACAAATAAACTTTTTTGATTTTATTTCTCCACATTCTAGATGTGCCCATTTGAAACAGGTCTGGCATTTCTCCCACTTTTCACCTCGCATATCTTTGCTTTGGAATACAAACCGGCGCAATATGGACACTCTGCATCGTCTTCCTCGTCTTCTGAAGAAAAATCAGTGGTGTGCGAAACATCATCTTCACTGGACGTTGATGATTCAGTAAAAACTTTCCTTTTCACAGGCCTTTTCCCAGTTCCTTTTCCTTTTGCGGCACATTTCCTTGGCTTTCTTTGATTTTCCTTTTTTTGCCTCCTTTTCTTTTTTCTCTCCAAAGCTTCTTATATTTGTAGTTTGTACGGAGAAGATTGCGAATTTACTATTGAAGGTCTAACGAAAAACCTTTGTTTCGCTCATCTAGGTATACTAGTTACCCAGTGGTGAAAATGTTTTACCTTCATATGCGACGCCTTGTCCCGTAATATGAGGTACCTCATATTAGGAGCTCTCAGGTGTCTCATACTAGAGTCTTAAGAAATTTTACTCAGTTTTAGGTTAGTTGGTAAAAGCGTGAAAAAAATTGACTCAACGGCATGATAAATAGATACTACGTCATGTTAGCAGAAAATTATTAACACTGTCTTGTTAATAATTTTCTGTTTTCTACATACCTTTACGACAAGCACTGCAAGTACTTTGGCGACCGGCACACATAAACTTGCCGCACAGCCAACTGCTTTCTCGCGCGACGCGGCCTCTGTTAACAAACGATAGAAAGTGAACTGCCGGTAATATAGAACAGTGGCGCTCTTTTCAAAAAATGGCCTAATTTGTGAGAAAGCCCGGTGTCTCATATTCGGAACTGTCTCATAATAGGCATCTTTACCCTACTCGTATATAGGTAACTTATAATGGATTCGACTCACAAAAAACTGTATTGTTATTATATAAATAAACACAACCGTGTCAAGTTACTAGGTTACGGAAACCCTACACAAGTACCTACTATGAAATTTTTTAAATTTCAAACTTTGCAATGTTTTTATATCTATCACTATTTGCTTATAATTACCTACTGACGCAAAATGCGAAAAAATAGTATAATCAAATCTCGTTAGAAATAATTTACTAAACGGATACAGCGAGCGCAGCGAACGAGTAACTTAAAAAAGCTATATGATTTTGCTTTTCTAAACTTGTTACTATTATCATTGTATAAGTTATACAATGCTATTATACTGTTTACTTGTTCTACATTTGTGGAGTATTCAACAGAGACGACTGAAGAAAAAACGCCACATTATCAATAACTAGGTAGTTTCCTTCCAAGAGTACCGATCATAATATAAGTTTTAGAAGCTCCTTTCTCCAGATGGCAATTCAGTCGGTGCTATGAGACCTGAGAAACCTGTATGTTATTAGTCGTGTTTGATTGACCTAACATCTCACCTCAGTTAATCTCACCAAACAGTAGGTATTCAGAATAGTTGAGATTTTAGTACCTATATACAGGCTGGCCAAATGAAAACGAAACAGAGCCATTTTCAGGAACTGCGTCAAGATTGTAGAAAAACGCTCAGACCCGTCGATTTTAGATTAAAGGGGGACATTCTTTGCTGGTATTTTTGACTCCGCCACTTTCACCCCCAAGCAAGGGTAAGCATCACCCCAAAATATTTAAATGGCATTGGGGGTTGAGTAATATTTCTTTTGAAAGCTCTTACAATTCTCTTTACAACAGACTTTAAATTTTATAATTCCGCCCAATACTTTGAAAAAAATTTACATTTTAAAATTTAAATTATGTTTAGTTGCTTACTTACTACTTAGTTGATTAAATGTTCAAACTGATGACCGCCCGCTTCCATACAAGAATAAAGATTTTGTTCGAAACGTTCGCGCACATTCCGAAGCATTTCCGGAGTGATTCGACGGCATTCGTCGACGATTCTTTGACGCAAATCTTCCAGCGACGCTGGCTGTGTTTTATAGATTTTACTTTTTAGGTATCCCCACAAAAAGAAATCAAGGGGCGATAAATCCGGTGATCGTGGAGGCCACTCAATGCTGCCTCTTCTCCCAATCCAATTCCGTAGAAAACGTTGGTCCAAATACTGACGGACAATTAACGCATAATGCGGAGGAGCACCGTCCTGTTGAAAAATCAAATGATCTTCATCATACTCTGGAACATTTTCAATAATATCAGTCAAGGCAGGGTCAATAGCGTCTTCCAGTAATTGCAAATACATTTGGCCAGTCAAATTACCAGGTAGAAAAAAAGGACCCACCAGCCGGTCACCGAAAATTCCAGCCCATACATTTAATTTTTCCGGTTGCTGTGTATGCACCTCGTGAAAAACTCTTGGGTTTGAATCGGACCAATAGCGGCAATTGTGACGATTTACCGTCCCGTTCAAGAAAAAACTGCATTCATCAGAAAAACAGATGTTAAAAAGGAACTGTGGATCGTTCCCTGCTCGCTCACTCATTATTTCGCAAAATTGCAAACGGCGGTCATAATCATCCTCATGAAGTTCCTGGACTAAATGTATTTTGTATGGATGGAATTTATTCTTCTTCAAAATGGTTTGTATGCTAGTTCGATTGATCCCAGACACAGATGCCAGCTGCCTCGTACTTAATGTAGGATCAAGATGAACTTGTCCCAAAACTGCAACTTCACTAGCTTCATTAACTATAGGTTTTTCAATTTCTCGTTTTTTATTGGCTACGTTCCCTGTCTCTTGAAATTTTTTTACTAACTCTAGAACATACTTCCTCCTGACATGTCGATCTTGATGTTGTTCATTAAATAGCTGAGCTGTTCTATTCGCACATTTATTGTTCATAAAGTAAAGCGAAATGATATCTACCCTTTCCGCAATGGAATAAACCATAGTGTTTAATTTTCAAAAACACAATTAAATAAACTACCAACCAACGCTTCCAAATAATACTAGAAAATAATTTGGAATCCACTAATTTTACGTTCATTGTGTGTGTATAGCATTCATTTCTGTTTTTTACAATTGTGTTTTTTTTACGAAAGTGATAACAAATCGCCAAAAACCAATGTAACGCAAGAAATACTAAATTTATACCATTTTTACCGTTACTAATTGTTTGTACATAAGTTTCAATTTTACAATCAAAATTCTTAATAAGTATTGGGCGGAATTATAAAATTTAAGGTCTGTGGCAAATAGAAATGTAAGAGCTTTCAAAAGAAATATTACTCAACCCCCATTCCATTTAAATATTTTGGGGTGATGTTTACCCTTGCTTGGGGGTGAAAGTAGCGGAGTCAAAAATACCAGCAAAGAATGTCCCCCTATAATCTAAAATCGACGGGTCTGAGCGTTTTTCTACAATCGTGACGCAGTTCCTGAAAATGGCGCTGTTTCGTTTTCATATAACATCGCAATATTGATTACATTTGCCTTTTATTCTCTTCTAACAACTAAGAAATTGCCTTTATTGGCGACATATCGTCGTTGATCATACCGTTGAGTGGGAAATAGTACTACATACTAGTATTATACTAGGTATTTCTCACTCAACGATAATACAAAGAGGCGTAAGCGCTAAAACCACGAGTAATTTCACAGGAAAATATGACGAAGTTATGTACTTATGTACATACAGGTGAATATATTACACAACTGGCAGAGACTGGTCGATTTTCTTTTTGTCTCTTATGGTTTGTTTACACGGGAACAGTCAACTAAATTTTAACTAAATTTTAAGTCACTTGAACCTATTTGAACAGCGCATATGTGGTAAGTAACAAGTTATGGAGCAAGTAAAAATTTAGTACACTGGAATAGAATTTATTCTATTTTTTCGTGCAAGTTGACGACTTGCACCGAACTTTTCCCTCCTGTTGATCCACTTTCGCTCCCAAAGTCGTTTAGGTCTACTTTTCTCTTCATATATTTCTTCATTTATTTCTTCTATTACAATATTTAGGATATTGCGTAGTATGCCATTAAATTCTTCTACAAATTGCTGCCTCACTTTCATCTCGTCAGGTTTGCAAATATTTATAAACTGCATTAGAACTTACCAATAACTAAACTTAGAACTTACCAGTGCGAACAGTACTTGCAGAAAAAGCAGTAACTTAAAAAAACGTAAAAATTTAGTTACCACTTACCTACTGTAACCGTGTAAACAAGACTTTACGCCCAATACCATATAAGGTATCTGAAGATCTAATAGTTCTAATACTAATTGTACTACCGAGATGGCGGCGAAGACAATGAAACAGTTCTCTGATTAGTTAATTATATTCAAGGTAGGGAACTCTCTACGTTACTGCTCCTCACTCATAGATGGCTGCAGCGATATTTAAAGAACATTCTCATTTGCTTTTTTAGGTTAAGTTGTAAAGGTTAAAAATATATGTGTTATAATTACGTTTCCTAATATGTCTCTACAAGTGATACTTATGTAATATACAAGAATAAACTACTTCGAAATGTCGACAAGTTTACGACACAAGGTTCTACAAAGTTTCAAACAACTGCATCAAGCCAGAAGAAGTGTTTTCAAAGGTGATACTTATGCCTTGACGGAAGCTAGAAAAAGAATTAATGAGGAATTCAAGAAAAATAAACATGTAAAAGACGTTAACGCTATTGATGAGTTAATAAATTATGCCAATGCCGTTGAGAGGGAAATTAGGACTTGTGTTATTCAAGCAAGAGAGGTTGAGCCTGGGAGATTTCAAGTACAAATTACAAAAGACACTGTGCAATTGGATAACGTGCCATTTTCTGACTGCCCTAATGAAAAATCAAAAAATGAAAAATCATAAAGTTTAATTAATTAATTTGTAGTAATTTCTTGAGCTATGATATGGCTGGAATTTGATGGAGTATGTCTATTTTGTTGTGTTTGCTCAGTTTGTCGTATTACTATTTTTGCTGTTTTAGGTGCAGGGGCAGTATGTTTTTAGAGCTTGTTCTGTTAATAAAAGAGAAAAAGCTGAGCGATACTTTTAAGCTAACTTCGACTTCTGAGGATAGTAGCAACAAGTTAGAATGAAAATTTTACTTTGTGTATATATTCATTTAAGTGAGTTATAGGTAATTTGTAAATTGTATAGTATTAAATAAACAGTTCCTAATACTGCCTGAGTTATTTACAAGTGGGAAAAATATTTAAAATATAATTTTTGGTGTTGATATTAACCATAGTATATATTATTTTTTAATACAAAATGTTAATTTTTATCAGACTTTTAATATCAATAAGGTAATATTTTGGAAGTCAATATTGCCATTATTATCTGTTATTCAATAACCGTTACTTGGTAGGATTCGATCGAAGTACTTATTTTTCATATTCTAGTTACACACAATACTTGCCGACGCGATGCCGTATTTAATAATCAGTTGTTATGTTGGTTGCCACTGTTTTCAGTGGAATTTGAAACTGAAAGTCGATTCCGCCATCTGCATAGCAAATTACGAACTAAATTGTGAGCGCATGTAAGAAGAAATCTGTATTCTATATAAAAAATTAAAGAACGTTCAAAATTTTGTATTGAATAAATAAAACACTGTATTTTGATAATGTAATCATTTCAGTACTTTAATTTTAAACTAATTTGCGGTACATATTCTCGCCAACATGAACTTAGGCTTTTTACAGATTCTAATGACTTCCAATTAAATATTTGGGAATTTTTTATCGTTATCTAATTAAAAATAATAAAAGTGTACACTAACATCCTGCTCTATGTACACGATATGAAAATTAAACTATTTCTCTATTCCCAGTTAGTTGTCATTAAATTTTGATACAATATAACCATTATTTATTTTAATAATCATTATATTTGTTATTATTTATTATTATTTATTTCACAGAAATACTGCTGCTGGTAAAACAAATCATATCATTTATCAAAGGAAGTGTAACGGTTTTTCTAAGTTGTTTATTTAGTTATTTAATGAATTATAATTGTTAAATATTACATCAATATTTATAACAATTTGCATTAATGGGGAAAATACGCTTCCGCTGTCCACAAGTAATAACACCTTTGAAGTAAATTATTCGGAAAAACCTACCCCTCCTCCTTACTCTTCTATGGGAACGAGTCGAGTGTCTTAGTGTTTATTTAGTCATTCTTGACTCGTCGTACAGCATCGTAAGTTCCATCGAAAGCGGGCCCACACAGTGCATCATACAATGTTGTTAATATAACAATAACAAACGGACCTTGAATATGTATTTACTTACGTTAGCCTTGGTGCTAAGTAACGCGCTGATTTCTTATGGGAATCACTACAGTAAATGTTGTAAGCTTGGGGAGCATCTCGATCCCTCATACGAATGTGTAGAAAACAAAAACAAGAGACTTCAAATTTTAACTAACGAAACGAACTTCTTGAATAAAAACACTGATGGGGAGTGCGTGGAAGTTAGTACGGACTTTTTTTCCTTTAACGTTTCCAATGGAAAAATCGTGGGGAAAAGGCCGGTTAGTGAAACATATTTTCCAAAGTGTTGCCCCTTGGACTATATTTACAACTCCGTCCTACATTCTTGTGAGGAAAAGGAAAACGTGGACTATAGTCACATTAACGAAAATTTCGTGAAAGTGGGACTGCCCAATTGTAAGGTTGTTATGGACTACGAGTTGAATGGAATGACAGATTTTGAATATGGTTTGATTGATGCAAGGGGTAGACAAATTAGAAATTCCCTTCGATACCCTGGATCGTTCTGTATTGACGAGAATGAGAAAGGCTCGTTTATGATAAGGGAGTGTAAGGAGAGTTTAGAAGCTTGTGAAGAAATGAGATGTGTCAAGAAGTGTTGTCCTGATGGACAAAGTTTTATAAACGGTGCGATTTGTTACGATACATACACTAGTGGGGTGAATTTGAGTTTATTTTCAAGCGTGGAGAAATCCCAAGGTATGTGTATTCTATCATTGACAATATAACAGGAAAATAATATACAGGCTGTCTTAAGGTGATGGCCCATTAGAATATTTCAGATAGTAATTCGACTTCAACTTTAAAAATTGGACCCTGAAATAAATAATAAATTGTAATTATCAGGATTTGTGTACGTTTTTTTGAAATCAATATTTAACTACCACTGTCAGACTAACAGCAAATGATGACTTATGACATACTGGTTGTTTTGTTTTTAAGTTTGCTAGCAATTTCACAGCCATCCTCGCAGGAAATTAGTTAATTTCAGTTATTTATCACAAAAACCGTCAATAAAAAATTAAGAGAGATGGGTATAGATAGATAGAGAGTAAAATTCTACAACAGATTTTCATTAAATATACAGGGCATTTTGGCGGTTCGAAGTTAAGCAAATTCGACAATAAATTTTCACTACCATGTCTAAAACTTAACAGTTTTTAAAGTAACTGTAATAAATGATAGGCATCGCCCTGCTCCCTCCCATATAACAATACTTCATCTTGCACGATGTAAAAAAGAGGCAATTTTGCATTAGGCTATCGAAAAACAACTTTTTTTTGATAGAATTGAAATATCTGGAAGACCATTAGAAATAGATGTAGGAAATAAGGTATAACGGGAAGTGTAACAGCAATGGAACTATTTTATTTAAAGGGAGCGCCCCCCAAAACTCCAAAGCCAAAATTTTCAAAATTGAAATCTCTGAAATATTCTAATGGACCGTCACCGTAAGACAACCTGTATATAAAAAGCATACTATTTTAATAAGACCACAATATTGACATGAAATCTAATTAATTTTCTTAAATCCTAAATTGCTGAAATTATTTTTTATTATTCAGTGATAATAATAGTTAACGTTTAAAAAATGTAATTTTTGTTTGAAGAATCTCAAGAGAAATATTCCACAAGTAATTAATCACCACCTTTCACACACTTTTTACACGTGGTGATCCCACTTCTGAGGTTAGATTTGGGGACTATTAACATACTTTACCTTTGACTTATTCATATTTTAGAAGCACACCCAATGTTAATCATCTTCATTTGCTTTCTGAATGTGATCTTATCTAATAAACATAATATACCTACTTAGTAACGTGTAGCTCTGCAAATCTTGAAGCTTTATTAATTATTTATACATCGTAGATGCTCAGGGACCTTGCCTTAGAGTGTTCTTGTAATTTACTTGGCAACTATTAGCTGTTGTGTGGCCATTAATTGAATCCTTGCTATTTAGATCTAGTTTACATATATAGTGTGTCTAGTTTTTCATGTCGACACATGGTCGAAGTTTCATATGTGTGGAATAACATAAAGAAAATAACCTGCGAGTATTGATGTACAGTGTATCTGGTATTTCATGTTAACACTCCCTTAAATGTAAGTAGGCAGGGTTTTGAAAGGTCATCATTTGCCAACTATTGATTTTCCATTGCCATGTACACAGAAAAACATGTAGTTTTTTTTATTAAAAAAAAAACACCGCTCGATTAACCCTAAATTAGTTGTGTACCAAATCAAAATGATTTCCTGCCATCCTAGACGCGCACAACAAAATTTTATTTAGCATTTTTTTTTAAAGTTTGTCAACGTGTAAAAAAAAGAACCAAAAGGTATTTTTTCTTCAAATTTGGTACACAACTCAAATTCAAATTCAAATGTTATTTTTTTCAACAAAGAAAAAACCTTAATTTGTTTCTATTTTGAAAAGCACCTGTTTAAAAAATAATAGTATGTATGTGATGGGTAAAGCGTTCGTGATAATGGGAAACCAACAAATACCAAATTGATGACATTTTAAGCATCTACTCATAAAAAATAGTCCCACTTGATTCTGTATTTAAGGGAGTGTTAACACGAAGAACCAGTTACACTATAAATCAATGCTCACAGGTTTCCTTTAAATTATTATTCCATAGGTATAAAACTTCAAAATGAATAATTAAATAAAAAAACATTGCCTGATTTTTATTTTTCCCATACTTATTCACATTTTCATTTTATAGAACTCCAAATGAAATTTTGTTCAATAAAATTTCCATTGACAACGTTAAAGTACAAAGAAAAAAAAATGAAATAATTACACAAAGCAAAGCCAGATAGTCTACAAATTAATTACTCGATAAGTTTGAAGCATCTATCTCTTTTCCATAAACTTTTACGTTTATCGAAATATAGTTGCATATTTTGTATTTAAAGCAAATAATTTGGTTTAAATTGTACCAAATGACACAGAGAAATTAATTATTAGGTAGCGCAGATAAAATATAGATGGAACTTCCTAACTTCACCATTAAATTCCACAACTTGTATCTCTTAAGATAACAAAGATCCCGATGGTGCGACCCGAGAATCGCCAAGTATAAGTCTATTTGTATGCATTTGCTCAAAATTGTGTTTATAATCAATTTAATGAAGCTTAAACATTGTTTGTAATATTTACTAATTTTATTGTATTTTACAAAGTATGGTGGATAGTACAGACTTTTGAGATAATGGATTGACTTGTTGTATATTTAAAAATTTCGATCAAATTAACTTTTATAGCATCCTAATAAAGAAAGTTGTGAAAAAGCTAATTTTAATGCATTTAGATGTTAATAAAATTGGAATAAACATGGGAGATATTGCGTAATAAAATTTATTGCCCATTACATGGTAATATTATTTTGCTGAGGTATCGATACCTATAAACTGTAGTTTTAGAATACGGTTAAATTTTTTTACAAACGGAGATTAAAATTGTGAACTACTTCTCTTAGTGAATGCTTTCTATTTTCTCTAAACGAAATATAACGGAACTATCTTTTAAACTAAAATTTGTTATGCTAGTGAGTATTATAGAAGCAATACAGTGTCCCAGAAGTAACGCAAAAAATTCGTATTTCATTATGTGTTGCGTTTTCACAAAAACGCTAAAACACGTCAATTAGTAAATAGGAATTGTCATTTTGTCACGTTGCTTAAACCTTTTTTGCGCTATGTTTCATAAACCTATGACGTCATCAACATGTTTTAAATAGCACTACCTAATTTTTTAAGCATAAATGGATAGTCTTTTTGAAGGGAAATACGTCTATATAGGGTTTGGCCTACTTTACTTTGACAGGAGCGAAAAAGAAGCCAATGACTGGAATGGACATGGTTTAAAATAACAACAAAAGCAGGTATCACAAACTGATGCGATAACAGTGCCACAGCAAAAAATGGAAATTTGTGGATGTTTTGTGTTTTGGTTGATTGTAGGTTCGTTTTTATGTATTGATATGTTGGCGTTTTCAGCGATACGACGAACGGCAGTGTGTGGATTTTCAGTGACAGCTAAAATTAACATTTTGCCTATCATTTTCTATCACTGTCGTTGGCCTTCCAGATCTAGACAGATCTCTACCATGTCCAGCGTCTTCAAATTTGCGTACTAATCTGCATACTGTAGACGGAGGTATTGGTTGTTCTGGATACTTGGCATTGAATAATTATCATACTTCATCATAACTACGGATCTTATCTCCGTATCCAACCATAATTAGAATTTCAATTCTTTGTTTCTCATTTAAACACAACACCATCGCAACGTCAAGTTATGGTATTTGTAACTGTCACAATGATATGAGGCACTATTGCCTTCGCTAACTGTTGTCTTCAAAACAATACCTACATAGCCGCTGTGATCGGGTGTACCTACCAAATCTACATAAAAACATGTACCTGCAATCAACCACAACACATTTTTTGCTTAAGAATAAGTTTGTGATACCTACTTTTTGTTATTAATTCAAACCATGCCCATTCCAATCGTTGGCTTTTTTCGCACCTCTCAAAGTAAAGTAGGTCAAACCCTATATCGACGCATTTCCCTTCAAAAGGGCTGTTCATTTATGCTTAAAAAATTAGATAGTTCTATTTAAAAAAAATGTCGTTGACGTCAAGGGATAAAAAACGACATTTCGCTGATAAAGTACGCAAATTTATTTATTTTTATTTATACTTACTTGTTTATTTATTTGTTTACGGCAAACACGCCTATGACTAATCGACGAAAACCCCGAGCTATAGTTGTAAGTTAGAGACCCGAGTATTTATATGCATCCTAATCTAAGTAAACTTATGCGTTTAGTAATATTTTTTCTATTTAGATTAATTAACCTCTCTTCAAAAGTCAATATTTCAATATAGGCAAGTTAATATCGTAAAAAATATATAATATAGTTGCAGACAAAAAGATTCAACAATTCTTCCACAGTTTCCTTCGCATAATACCCAGCGCAAGTAGCATAACAACTTGTTCGCTAAATGTAAATTTTTCAGCCATTTTCAACAACAATCAGAAGTAATTGTTGAAGTAAAATAATTTTATTACTGACTGACAAGCTTGAAAGATAAATTCATTGCCTACTACTGACTTTTTGATTATTTTCTAATGAACACTTTTAAAATCTTGTGTTAGCTAATACGGTTTTTCTTGAAAACTTTAAAAGTTTTTTAAAATTTAACAAGAGTAAAAAAAAATTAAATTAAATTCTGCTGTGAATTAATATTATTATTAATTAATTCGGTCAATGAAAAAAAAGTTCGGTACAATTTTAGGGGTGAGCCATCCCCAATGAACACCTTGTAGTGCTTCAATTAACTTTCAATCATAGTCAAAGAAGATCAGCAATAAACCTAAATCATATACCAAATTTGGTTCTTCTGTGGTAAAATATTGTAGAGATATTATTTTTTTCCGAAATTTAGGGCCCCACTTTGGGAGCTAATAACTCCCCAGGGGTGCAACTTTGTATATAGGTAAGTTTGTTTAAATTATAATATTTTGGACACCCCTTTGGTTCTTATGCGGGACACCCTGTATATAAAAAAATAAATAGATTTTGTTGACTTTTGGAACTACTACTTACAATTTTTTTGTTTCTAACTTCGCCATAAAATTAGTTAAAATTACGAATAATATAAAGTATATGAAACATGTGAAA